AAGGAAAGTGGGGAAATGTAGAATCTAAGCATTAGTAAGATTAGTAAATTAGCATAAGCATAGCCATCTTAGAAACCTAGAAACCATTTTCTGAGAGTGTGACTCAGAGGAAAAAAAAAAAAAAAACAAACCCTGGGCCTGGGTAAGGCCTTGAAAAACAAGTTAATCATGAGCACCGGGTGGTGGGCAGCTGTGACCCTTGGTCAGCTAACCTTGGTCAGTAAATCTTACATACCAAGCTTATCGTGCAGAACCTCCCTAACCATTGAGGAGTAGTCTTACCCTGCCCTTGCTTAACCCCAGGATATATGTCTTGCAAGAATAATGTATAGTTATAGAAAATTGCTATGAGTTAAGTGCTTTGAAATTGCTATATAAACCCTTGGCTCAGAGTGCTCGGGGTCCTTGTTGAGACCCGCTGCGTCGGGGCTGACTTGGACCCCAACTAGTTGGCTGAATAAAGACTTTGCTTGAATTTACCAACTTGCTTGAATTAACAACTATGCCTGTGTAGTTTGTTCTCTGGGGAAGCCTCAGAAGCCTGCACCCTAACACTATCAAGTTATTCACTTGGAAAACCTGAAAATTATACTTGACGCCCCTCTTAACCCTCACATCCAACTGAGCACCAAGTCCCATCTTTTCTACTTCTTATATATGTCTCATATTTTGTCACCACCCAAACCAGTTTTGTCCAAGTCATCTTCATTTCTTTTCTGAAATACTGAATTAGCATCCAGCTGGCCTTTCTTCATCAGTGGTGTCTCCCCTCTCCCCAGGAGTCATTCTTTACAAGGAGTCAGGATGAAATTTTTTAAATTCTGGTAGAGTAATGTCTTTGCCCTCATCAAATCTTAACAGTTTTGCATTTCTCTCAGGACATAAATCCCAACAATGTAAGATAGCCTTCTAAGACTGGCATGATCTGTTATTTGCTTGCATTACTATTTCGTTTTTAAAACATAATTTTGTTTCCATTTACATGAATTTCAACTCAACAATGTCTCTGGGGCTCTATCCATGAGTGGTAGAACTGTTAAGAAAATCAAGGAAGTTTAGATACCATGCCAGATAGCAGTTACATTGCGCATGGTAAGGGGAAGGGCAGGATGTAATGGGTGAGGGACCCACAGGTTCTTCTAAAATACTGGTGATGCTATTTTTCTTAATAACTGCTAAATACCCAGAGGTTCATGTTTTAAGCTAGTTTCTATGTGTGATATAGTTCACAATAAATTTAAAGTAAAAGGAGTGAATGGGAGAAGAAAACAAAAGGAGTAGGTCTAGAAAATACCTTAAAGGAGTTTTTCTGTTAGGGATGGAAATGAGAAAGGAGGCACTGCTGGAGAGGAGATGTGGGTCAAGGGTGGAATATTTTTTAAACAGAAGATAGTGTGGTATGTCTTTATGCTGAGATGAATATTCCAGCAAGGAAGCAAACTGTACATTTGAATACATTCCTTGAAATATTAAATTCAGGCAGATATTCTGGCTAAGAAGTAAGATTGTCAGAATAAGAATTTGTCTAGTCTAGGTTAGAAAAAATATGTTCAATGGCTCTTTTTAATACACTACCTTGAAGTGTGAGTTCACATATCCTTTTATTAATTGCTGATACACTTGTTCATATTTCTAGCAAATGGATATTATAAATATTTGATAGAGTCTGCCACCTTCTTTCTGTTGAGTTAATGATCACTGTAACTTGTCCAAAGACAATTTTATTTCTAATCATCTTAGTTCCCCAGAAAATGGTTTTAGGCTTGGGATGATGCATTTACTTTACATTTCATGAACATATGCTCAATTTACACTTAAAGAATATTCTGAAAAACTGAAATCATAGCAAGTTTTCTTTGCTAGAGAATGGGATCCTTCATTGGAGCAACACCTTTTAAGGAATTAGATCACGTCTCTTTAGGTTCCCTTATAATAGTAGATATTGATTCTTGTCCTCATGACTTATTATAGGGGTGCCAAGCATAGCCTTCTGGGGAGTTAGAGCAGCAGAAATCAGGTAAGTCACAAATTGCTGAGGAAATACCTTGGGAGTGCCTTCTGGACAACAAATTGACAGTGGACATGAGAGATTTTGCTAGAAAATATACAACCCTAGGGAAATGGTTGCAGCTCACCCTCCTATGTAATATAATGCATCACCTTTCTCCCAGTCTGTACCACCCTGGGAAAGCATTTTGGCCAAATTTGGCAACGGTTTTTGCATGTGGCCAGAGGTTTTTCTGGGCAAAAACTTGTACTCTAAAAGAAACAATTTTGGGCTTCATGCCGGTAAAGATAAGTTGGTACCCACTTGGCTAATTTCTATTAAGAAATATATTCTTTGTCTAATGACTTACAATTTTGGGTGGTTTTTGAAAATTAATAGCAATTCATGAACCAGGATTGAAACAACAGGCAGAGTTTGGAATGCAGTTTTGATAGTTATGGCTTTTTTTTTTTTCCTTTTGTCTTATGTTGTTTAAGGTTATTAGGAGACAGGGTATTTAGTTGGCTTTGGCATGTCTCCTGTAGTCAGTTAATCAGACCATGAGCACACACAAAAAGAGAAGAAAATGGAAATAAGATTTGTTATGGTGGGAGGAGTCCTGCCAGGACTTGTCTGTTCCTGAGCTGAGAAGTTTTAAGTTTACCTTAAAACTTTCCCTAAACCACATTCTGAATTCACAGCTTATAAATCTTTATCCTGTTTTACAAACCTCATCTCATACTTTTTATGTAACCCGGTGGACATAGACACTGTCTTAGTGGACCTGACAATATATGAATACCCAGGAATTTGAAATGAATAATGATTATATCATGATAACATAACTACCCAGGTTCCTGGGCCCTGTGGTAGGATTTCTTTCTTGAGAGGGCTGAGCAAAGTGGGTAAAGAAAGGAACACACCATCACTGCAACCGTTAGGAGAGGACAATCTGGATGGGGTCTGGGAGATTAATTTATGTGTAAAAGTAATCAAATCAGATAGTAACTACACTTATCCTGGTGAGCATTTTGTAATATGTATAGTTGTTGAATCACCATGTCATACACTTGAAACCAATGTAAGATTGTATCTCAACTATATGTGAAAAACAAGGTATCAAACTAGCCAAGAGAGCCCATTCTCAACCAAGGTATCACAGTTACCAGGAAATTTATCTAAAATAACCTAAAAGTGACCTAGAATTACCTAAGAAATATGTTATGCACTTGCATTACCCATCCACTACCCAGTTTGGAATCCTACTCCCTCAGAGCATATGGAGGAGCTGGAAAATAGTGGACTTTGAGATTTTTAAAAAACTGGAGATAATATGGCATGTCATTATGCTGATTGGAATATTCCAGCAGAGAAGGAAACTGCATGTTTTAATTCATTTCTTGCAATATTAAACTCAGGCATGTCTTGGCTTAGAAGTAAGATAGTCAGAATGAAAATGTGTCCATTTTTTAATGCCCCAGGCCATTTGAAAATGCTCTCCTCTTCCCACTTAAAATTCTTTCCTTTATTCAGGTTGACAGAAGGCTCCTCAAACTGATGAATGAGGGTCCATAAGCTATTTTAAAAGTGTTATCAATTTGGCATCCCAACTCTGATTATCTCATTCTAATAAAAACCAACCAACCACTGAGCAAATTATTTGGGAATTATATTTATTTTAGGTTAATAGAATAGGAAAACCAATTGATTTTAATTAGATGCAGCCTGTTTAAGAGAAAATATTTCAAAGTGTGCTGCTCTGTAGAAACCAAAGGTTCAGAGTCTTTTGTAATTTGAAAACTTGGTTGTGACTGAGTGTCCTATTTCAGGTAAGGATGGATCAAGTTAGGAATTAGATTGATTCAAGGCATTCTGAATTACACTGTTATAGAAGTATTATAGGAGTTTAGGAATAATGGAAAAAATATAATTCATAAGCTTACCACTTCAATACAACAAAAATGGTTCATGTGTTATATTCCTCACTGGACTTTTTCACATGTGTAGCTTCATAAAGTGATAGTTGATGAATAAATACAATTTGGTGATCTTTCACATAAACTGAGAACAGACACAGTACATAAATTACCTCATAGACTTTAACGTCTTTTATTCTTTCCTTTTAATAATGAAATTGTCTACATTTTCCACTCATATATACTGAAATGCATATAATCATACATATATTTTATTAAAATGATTTGAGTTTTGATTGAGTTTTCTAAAGTTCGATAGATTTAAAATAAACTCAGATGCACTTAACATAGTCAACTCATTGTCCATGTTTATCCCCATTATTTGTCCCCTGTTAAAAGAACTTATCAATAGCAATTTTTCTATATTCATGGAAAAACAAAATGAACAATATGTTCACTTAGATGCATATATAAACATATCAGATTATATAATGATTTTGAGATTGAACCATCTGAGTCTAAATTATGCCACACTTGTTGCTTTTTTGTTAAGTATTCATTAATGGGAAAGAAAACTAGACAAATAATACTTTCTCTTAAGAATCAACAAGAATTTACCTGAAACTCATGATACCATAAGTATACAAAAAGTAAACAAATACTGTCTTTACTTTCTTAAAGGGGACTTCAGGTTTCACTGCATATTTAATGGTAGTCGTGATACTGTGACAAAAGTCAAAATTAAGAATCCTCAAAAAATTCTTAACAGAGAAATTTTTTTTTACTGATCACACTTTAAAAATCCACACATCACTTTTTGAAAGATTAAACATGAGAAAACAAAAACACTCTCTTAAAGATGTTTTCATAATGCTAAGCCATCTCTCTAGGTTTTATTAATTTCATGAAAATATCAGTGAAGCAGCCAAGCACCTTATTAAAGCAATATCCAGCATATAATCTAAACAATATCAAAGAGTTTCAATGGAGCTGAAAAAGTAACTAGGAAATTGTTAGAGCCCAAATCTCTCACAGCATATTTTTCACAGGTAATAAGACTTCTAAAGCTACAGAGCTAGAGCAAAAATATTACTTACCTATACATTTTAATCTTGAGTAATGAAGAGGTCCTATTTTCTGCCTATCCAGCTTCTCAGATTTCCACTCAAATGATGACTCTCATGTACTCTTTCGGATCTATGAAACAGCTGAAGACAAAGGAGGAAATCCTACGTAATTAAAATCTAACTTGTTAAACAAGTCCGATGGAATCAACTTGAACCAATAGCATGACATGAGGAAAAGAATCAGAAACAGGGAATTTCACAAATCAGAAAGAATGTATTTATTCTGGTAAATTGCAATTAAACATGTAACAGGTGACAGATATTTCATAAAAGTTTGCAGCTACTCTGCACACTATGGAGTCATCATTTTTAGTTCAAGAGAATGTGACACTCTTGCCCATGTCTTACACCTCACTCCATGCCACAGCAAGCCAGGGAATATCAGAAAATACTTTCCATTCATTAATGGATAGCACTACCTCTGAATTCCCCCTTCTCTCTGATAAAATGCTGTTTTTTTCATAGCATATGGCACAAAGATTCAGAGAAGTAATTGGGAAGGTATGCAAAGTTATGGGAGAAACAAGCAGAACAGTTGGAACTAAAATTCACTTTGTCTTGTTCCAAATGTGTCTTTTGAAAAAAGCATTCCAACTCCTCACTACTAGTTGATGAATGGACACAAGAGTGTAGAACGAGCATGTGTGGGGTTAAGGTATGGATGGGAAATGTCAGCAGGGTTTGCAGGCTGGGGCAGAGCCTAAGAAAACAGGGGCAAGTAGTGTGGGCATGAGAAAAGACATTCCTGTCAAATGTGTTGGGAAGGAGTAGGAGATAAATTTGGAAGGTTATTCTGGGGTTACTTGTGAGAAATAATGAATGCTAAAGAACTGGAATGTGGAATAGAATTAGATTGGGTGTTAATACTTGAATTCGAGTCTTAGCTTTTTTAATAACTAGTTGTGTAGCCCAATAAAATAAACCCCACTTATTCCTCTCTGCGTTTCATTAAACTGCTGAGAAAAAGAGAAGCTGAATCTGGTGGTCTTTCAACTCTAAAATTCTATGACTTTATCTTGTAAATTACTGCTAGTCAATGGCTAATGAATCCACTCCAGGACTGCAGCTAGAGAAGTTTATTTGAAAATAATGATACCATAAGTATGCACTTTTTGTGTAAAGTGAAAGTAGACAACAGCAGCAGGAATGAGTGGCCTCCCCCCTAGCCTTCTCTTATATATTTTCATTAGATCTTATATGTCATAGCTGGCATTCTGACTTTGGGTTTTTTTAGTGAAAGGAATGAAACAGTATTTTAAAAACTTTTCAACAAAATTACCCCAATAAACCATTTTCACTTTGCATGTTAACCTTAAAGTACTTTTGACATGTTCAGGTCTTTTTCATGCATATATAAGAGAGCATAACTTCATAATATGCTTTTAATACTTAACACTAATTTTATAAGCATATCCCTGTGTTACTAATTTTTATAGTAAGGGTATATATTATTTCTAGTGTCTGTATGTATATTGAATAGCTGTATTAAAAGTGTTTTATAACTTTTTATCTTGATATAATTTCATATGCACTGGAAACTTGCAAATGTATACCTAGGTTCATTGATTATTGACACTTTTAATGACTACATATTAAAGGTGAATCATATTGTTTCTTCATGTGAAGTATTTAGATACTCCTTTTTTTATTGTAAATGATTCAATGACCACCTTTATGAACATAGTTTTTGTTTTTAAGCCACTGTTGAATTTTTCTTTGTAAATGGAAAGGAAAAATAATATATTGGGCCACCTTATTTAAATATTCTAATGGCTTTTAAAAATGTAATTAAAAAAAATAAGTTCTCAACGATGTGAAGTCTTGTCTTCTGGTTTTTGTGCCAAGCAGTTGCCCTCAACTACATGCTTGTTCTTTCTCGTCCATCTCTGTATTTCCTGGAGGACTCAGCAAACCCTCTTAACAAGGAGATGCTTAAGTCAACACATGCTACTTGTCTGCCCACTAACTGAATATATTACTGCAGATCCTGATGCGCCACCACTGTTCTCAAAAGAGCATAGCAGTGAGTCAGGGTTATGACATGGGGAGAAATGCATTTCGTCTGAAGGCGACTTCCTGCTTTCCTGTGATGACTCAACACAGGAGAGGTGGGGCGTGAAATTATGGTTTGTGAGGCAAAGGAATTGCTCTTAAAAGCCACTAGTTCAAAAGATACTGAGTCTTAATCTTCAGCTCCCCAGGGAGTGGCAGGATAGGCCTTGACCTTTCCTATTCTTAGGGGGCGGCCATTGCAAGAAAAAGGAATGTAGACGACATCATACAAAAAATACCAGCAGAATCCTCTTCCTCCAGTCATTGCCCTGGTTTTATTCCTCCAGTGGTATATTCACAAATCTGAGGCAACCCAACCTAGGAACACCGACAGGAACAGACCTAGCTTTGAAGGAAGTATGAGTCATTCAGTCAAGCTCATCACAACAATATGAAAAGAGAAAACCACCAGGAAGCAAATGATCTCAGAAGGGGTGAGCCAGTCATGGTTTCTTTGAATTTGGAGATTGTTTGGTCAGCAGGTCCAGGACAGTATGGTCATGTGGCTGTACGACCATTATGTGGTCGGTAATGACTGTATGACCTCCCTCACAGTTACCATATAAATAGGTAAAGAAAGATAATAGATGTGCCCATCACTGGAAAGTTATAAAATGTTATTTAAGTACAAATTTTTGCATTTATTATAAATTTAAAAATCAGATTAATAATTGAATTTTCTAACTATGGTCAAGTTTAATTTTTTAGATTATGACTTATAGATAGTTGGAGCTAAGGGAATAAGTATGTCCCACTATGTTTCAAGGACTTGTCTGTTCAGAAGGAGTTGTAGTGAAAACAGTACATTTTCTGGAGTTAGAATACACCTAGAATCAAATCTTGGTTCTTCTGTTTACTATCCAGCAGGGTTGAGAAAAGTTGTTTATCTTTGTAAGCCTCAGTTTTCTGACCTGTATAAATGGAGTTAAACTACCATTCTCATAGAGTTGTGAAAATTGAGTTCAGTCAAATCAAATGAACTAATGAATATAAAGCACCTGGTTTATTGAACAATATGTAATCATTTCTTCACTGATTCTCAAGGCTATGTGTGTGTGTGTGTAGGTGTGTATGTACATGTGTAGGGGTCAGAGTTGCTGAGAGGTGGGAGCATGTACAGTTTGAAAATGGCCCTGGGTATTTTTAAAATACACTCCCTTACTCCCTGCAGATTCACACATGTGATTTTGCTTCTTCAAACCAATCTTATTCCAAAAGCATTCATTAAAACACGGTCTGAGAAATCTAAAGGTTATTACAACCTGTGATGGTTTTCATGTTGGCAAGCAGTTATTTTCTGTGCTTTTCACATGTAAATCTTATTTACTTATTTATTTTTTAATCAGTTCGTAATAGTAAGAGGTCAAAGAAGCATCTTGGTCACAGGTACTTGTTAAAGAAGGTATGTCTCTTAAGTTCTCCACATCAGTTTCCCTTGGGCTGCATAGAGTTGTTTTCTCCTGTGGAAGGTAATTTCCACCTTCCTGTATACACACACAAATTTGACTCTTGTGCTTTTTCTCTGTATTCAGAGAGGAAATCAGGGCAAATAAACATAAAATGTATTAGTGGTCAACATAAGTCATCTCATCAACTGAAGGGTCTGGCTGGTAAATTCAATTACAATTATCCAGTATATCCACAAAAGGTTTTCAAGTGACCTTCATTTGGTTGATAACAAGAACAATATGACTATACATAACTGTTGTAAGTAATATATATTTTAAGCTTGATTCCATTATCAATTTGTAACTGTTGGTACTAACTGGTTCTTCAATACTGCTCAGCAAAGCAGTGAGATTTCTCTGGTTAGTTTCTAGTTTAGTGTTTATAAAACCATTTCAAACCTTCTCTATTCTTCCCCAAATGTTTATTTTCTATCCTTGGATTTAACAGATGACTTACAGTTCTACTGTTGGGGAACAAGGTAGAAGCTTTCAGATGGAGACTCCCTCAACTGCTTGTTATCATGTCTATAAATCTTACACTTCTACCTATCTCCTTTTTGTTATAGTGGAAGAGGTTTTTGTCCTCCCTTGGGAGGCTAAACTTTTCTTGTGCTTTGTATGCACATCTTTGTCCTTCCTGAACCTGTTTTTCCAGTATTTCGAATCTCTACTAGTCACCTTCCATTCATCCAGTTTCTCACACCAAAATCTGAATGTTATCCTTGACTCCATTTCTTTTCTCAGTGTCTTAGGCACATAAATATTTATTGAACCCATCTCTTTCCTTGTTCTTATCCCCACTGCCACCACATGACTCTTGACCACAATAATCTCTTCGCTGGATGTTGCTAGTCTTCTGATTAGCCTCTGTCTGTAACCTTTTTCATTCCAGTCCATTTTTCATACCTGCAAGAGTAATTATTACAAATTAAATAATGCCACTAGCCTTGTAAACACTCATCACTAGCTTTGTTGTGGTTAAGATAGAATTGATTCAAAGTTGAATTGGCAAAGCTCCATCTGGACCTTGCCTACCTCTTCACCCTACTTTCCCACCCTGCTTCTCACACTCTGTGCTCTATCTGCTGCATCCCTTTAGTTAACTTGAATATGCTGCCCTCTCTATTGCCTCTGTTCCCTCAGCTTGCACCATCTTTTTCTACCTCTTTTAACAAATTTATTTTTAGTTCTCAAATCTGAGAAATCTCTTAGGTCTACTTTGTTCTCCATGAGGGTGTCTTAACTCTCAGTACATGTTGGAGCCTCTTCAGTGTGACCCCACATCAGTTCGCTTCTCCTCTAATGATCGTGCCACACTCAGCACACAGTTTGAAATTATTCCACAGTAGGGCCCACTGGGGTCATAGACTGCTGTGTTTTCCAAGCCTGTCATCCTTACCTGGCATGTGATTAAGCACATAGTGAAAAAATGTATTTCTTTCTAGTGAGACTATATTTAACTTGTTTTTAAAAATCATTCTTGTGGGACATATGGAGATACTCTTCAGATCATTCTTCAAGACAAACTACTCAGCTGTGAAGAGTATGAGTACCTGTATTTTAAAATATAGTT